TTCAGATAAATCCAAGGCATAAGTTGCATATTGGTGCGAAACTCAGACAGACCTGGCAGCTCGATAGTTTTATTCCGAGTTGTGCTCTGTGCTGTGGGATTTTGTATCTCTCAAGTCTCTAGGTATACCTTATGTGTTAAAAATAAAGAAACAGTGACTAGTAGTAATCTTTCTTAATGAAAAATGGGGCATTTTTTATATTTCTTAGTACCTTATACTATATCAGTCGTGAACTTATGTCCGAATCTTCCAAAACATTAGAACATACTTTGAAATCACCAATCATATCAAGCTATCTCTTCATTCTAATCAAATTAATTGATCTAGCAAGACATTTGTCAATTTCAGTTCGAATAAAAGTTGGCCTATTTCAAACCGCCTTAATGTTGTGTATATTTTTCGAATACGCTTCTTGTAAGGAGCGTAACATAATTTTACAAAATATCCATCGATATTTTTATTTTGGTCAAGGCCAAAGCGCCTGTGAGGGAAAAATTTACATTATCGTTTCATTCAGATTTGATTTGGGGTCAGCAATTTGAACTTCAAACGCTTCGTCGTATTAAATTCCCTCGTTGATTCTCTTTGTCATGACAACTGATATTCTTATGAAACTTTGCCACTATTCCTTAAGTGCATAATGTCGCGTGCCAGACGCTGAACATAGTCAATTTGCAGTAAATCACCTAAGAGGTCAGGAGTGACGTGAATCGCTACATGAGCGCTCTAGAATCTCCTAAGGTAGGTAATAACTACCGTATGTCTACCCGTAAGGGTTGCATGGTAACGGGTAAAAATACAATACGAGACTCTTCTACGCTGGCAGGTCGTTACTGCAAAACTACTAACTAGGTAGACAAGAATTACAGTTACCCTACACTGATGTTTTTATATTCATACTTGAATATATCTATCATTAATGGTCAAATATCAATAAATGAGATTGGCCTCTTTAAGGAATACGTAACTTACTCTATGCATTTGCCACTATCACGCCTAAGTTTTGGATAAAAAGCTCTACAACCAATAAACCTTTACACATAATTACTGTTACTTAGGATAATACCACGTTAAAAACAATCCTCGATAAATGAAATGCAATGATCGTAATTCCAGATTAACAAACTGTTATGTTTCACACACGTTTTCTTGGCGTTCTGCCATGATCCGCTTCGCTTCTATCCAGGAACGGAAGTGGCAGAGTGCTCATTAGTTGACGTATGACCAGTTCCTTAATCTCCTACATGAACATGGAGCAGTGAACTTATTTACTTAGCGACGAGCACCCCGCCCTATTGCTGGCTACAAAATGTATGTTATGTAACCACATTTTCCCACTGAAACAATTTGTTTTAAATTCCCATCTATTTTCAAAATAGAAATCTTCCAAACATCCCACAAACACAACTAAAAAAAAAAGAAAAAACTCCAGCAAAAATTATCTCTGTCCTAATTTAAATAAAGATAACGAGTGAAAAACAGAATTCCACCATGGCTGCTAATGATACTCATAAAAGTTGGAAGCATTTCAAACGTGGTTCAAACCCGTAAGGCTCAACTTTTGAAATGCGTAAACAGAACAAATTGGTAACAATTCGGCGCCAGTGCATCTAAGTTATGAAACTTGCAGCGCGACCTGCCCGGATCGATGGCGACCTCTTTAGCGACCAATGCACCAAGTTAACTGCCCGGGAAAACCGTAGCGTGTGCTTTGTTACATTACAGAAATAAGTTGCCTCGATTTAAATCGGGTCTTCTACAGATTGTCGATCTAGTTTTTAACTACTATTAACTGTCAGAGTCACGGAAAATGTTACCATTTCTCTTTGTAGTTCGAAATAGATGAAAGACGCGTTCAAATTAAACAGAGTGATAGAAATCAGATTAGGCACACTCTATCGAACTAAGTGATTTATGTTTTTCTATAAGCACCTTTGTTATTTTAGTTATTGGAGTGATTTAAACAGAGACAAACTCGATTATTTTGCTGCAAGCAAAGGTAAGCATACAATTACGTAACAGCAGCATTCCTATGTGCTTAGCGCTTATACGAAGTTAAATTAATGAACAATAAAATTGCTATAATGCGCTTAAAACAATGTCCTTAGTATATCTACAATGAGATAAAAGAATCAACACAAAAATATAAATGTTCTGGAAAGGCAAGCGAGCATCGCTATCGTCTGAATAAATACGATCATTTTTCCTCCAGTTCAGTTGTATGAAACAAAAACCTTTTGCGATATTTCTGAACACGACTTTTATCGGTTGTAATCCTATACAAAGTCAAGACGGGCAGATGAAGACTTCGCCATTTTGCAAAGTAAAGGAAAGATAAGAAAGAAAGAGCAAAAATAAAACCCGATGTTTTAGGATCAGTCTTTATTTTTTGTTGTGTCAGTGAAAGCATTTGTTCAGTTTTTGAGTTGACAATGTCTAGCTAAGCCTGCAAAATCAATAACCGATAGTTTTTTAAATGAGATTATTACATAAATTCTTTTAATCATTAACATTTTTCAGTAACGCATACATGTAACAGTTTATCCTTTTGACCTTCTAGAAATATTTGTAAGGCTCCATTTCTGTGGAAAATACGCTTACTTCCGCAAACGATATCTTAACGTTAACAATAGATTGTCGTTCCAGGTTACATGAGCTGTTCTTAGAAAACGTCTTATCTCTGATACCTTGCGAAAAAGGTGTTATGTTTGGTGCGAAAAATTGATGATCGTGAAGCCATTACTTAAAGGAATAAGCTCATGAGTCCTGGTGGACTTATCCTATGTTGCCATACTTAATTCCATGAGCCTTATTATAATATCGCGTAAATTAACATTAACAACACAAAGTTTTTTTAATTCTCTTTTTAATGTCAGAATGTCTTGCCTCTTTGTAAATGTTAGGACATCACGAACACCAGCACCTTTAAAATAAATATGATTTCAAGTCGATTCTTGTACGTAGTTACGGTCCTTGAAGATATCGAGCGAACCGTAAATGTTAGTTACTGATACCTTAACGCAGTAAAAAGAAAGTTGAAAATATTTGATAACCGAGTAACAAAATTTTAACGGGGCAAGTTGTGCGTAATTTTCTTATGTGCATCTGCTACTTAATAAATCTACACAATGATATTTGGCAGTAGACATAGTAAAGTAATATAGCTATACTCTCGCATTTTTTATTACGTTTTGTTTTTATAGTAGACAACAAAAGAACAGAGAAAAAAAATAATTCACAATACATGAGGTTCGTTCCCTGGCGTACGATAACTATCAGATTTCCTAGATTATACCATAACGAAGCACTAACTGGTCTGCGCCCCATTATGAGCCTATTTCCCTTAGTGCCTTCAGTAAATTTCGCAAAATATTCTTTGTCGACGAAGAACTTATCAGGCCAAGTTGCCGCACGCAACGTTTCAACCCCTTTACATACCAACATAACTACAAAATTTATAAGTTCCGATACATACGATAAGTCGCGAAGCTTGCGTAACCAATACAAGCTGTTACCGTGCCTTTGCTATCCTTGAAAAAACAATAAACGTATAGGTAAGCTAGGCCAAGACGTCTGTTGCTAACCGTCCTCCAGACGTCCAAATATTCAAATTACGAAAATATCCTATGACATTTTTAACAATTTAATCAGTACGACCTTCAGTATTAAAATGTTGGTCAGTCGAAGAAAATTCTCGGAGATATCACCCTAAAGTGGCGGTCATTATGCTACCCGTAACAATGTTCGACGGGCCTGGAACCGAGATAAATATTCACGCCTCGCTAGGGATATTCTGAAGTCAACATCGTTCCAGATAGTCCTCAGGCAATGTACGAAAAAAATAATAAGCAGTGAATATTTTGGCAAGTAACGCAATTTACTGAACAATGCTAAGCTTTCATCGTATTATTTTTTTTTTCAAGATCATATTGAATACACGTTATAAAACTAATACTGAACAACAATAAAATTGTAACTGGTATATTATTGTATCAACTTTACTTTTGTAGTTTTTAAATTGACTACATGACACAATTTCTAGATGGTACCCAGGTATATAAGGTATGATGGATAGAATGACAGTGTATTCTACACCAACAAATGATTTGATTTAATTAATGGCACAATCTGTCTGTTGTTTCGTTGAGCGAGCACTAACGAGGTGGCCGCCGCGAGGCGTAATTAAAACGCCTCAGAAGGCGCGCGACAATTCTCTGCTAATGTTTAGATACTCATGAATAATATCCTCATTAGAACAAGGAGTTACACAACGTCTGCGACTATCGCCACCCACGACAGTGCAAGAGTTATGAGGACACGCTCTCATTCCCGACATCCTGCGGGAAGTGCGGCTACTTGCGTCAGTATCGTACAGGACCTTAGCCTCACTCTGTAGTAGTTAACCTGTTGTAGACGATCTCTCAGACCGTTGCAAGTGTGATATATGGCCAGTCGTAAATAGTCAGCGAACTGATTCGCCATCAAACACTTGGGGCCTCGAGTACCAATAAGCGTAACGATCCGCTCATTCAGATCCGCAGTGTATGGAAATTCTCCAATCACGTGCAATTCACACTGCCTCCAAATAGGTTTACTTATAATGAATTTACCCTGGAGATCTTGTGAATTGAATCGAGTTATCTCTAAAAGGGTTTTTGACGTGCCCCATATTCGCAAGGCTGTTTTCTAATTTCACAGCCGACTGCCTATTACGGGCGCTAAAAGATACGAGTCAAGATTCATGTTATAAGTATGTGGGGCAAGAAAAGTTTTCGGAATCAGAAGAAACTTTTAGCTCGCTAATAGGAATGGAGTACAATAGATTACGTAAAGTTTGTGGATGTGGCCTCCAGCGTGAAAACATATTATATTCTCTACGTAAGTACCGAGCATGTGCAGAAAAATCTCTTGAATAAGCGTACGTCAGCTAATGATGTCGAAAATGAAACGCATGGACTATTGAATCATTCTCATTTATAAGCCATAATGCAAGTGGCACAATGTCGGACAGGCGTGGAAGGCCACCTATTCACATTACCCGGCAAACCCTACTGGGTTAGTGTCCATCAATTCATTCAGATGAGGAAGTAACCTTACTTTACAATTTGCAAATCTCGTAGTGGGTACTAATAGCTGAATGGATGATTTATCAGTCTTGCTCTAGCAATAAATTGCACAGACGGCACCCACACATGAGTAATTCAAAAGCCAATCTTAGTTAATTACGTTATTGAACACTTCATTGTATCGAATAACATCCTATATTAAATTGAACAAAATACGTTTACATGTTAGAAGCAGTGCAAAAATTTCGTCTGGATTATTCCAGCGCTATTAAAGACAGCGTACGTGGGTATCCAGTGGAGTATTTCGCCTACGGATGTGTTGGTAACCTTGGATGAAGATGAGCTCGTCTTGGAACGCGTGCTGTGTCCTTTGACACAAATGCGGATGCGCTCAATTGGCGAGGCGGCCGTTATCGAACCGCGTTAAACACCAAGCAAGGCTGCACTCCCTCAGTTTTGCCATGTTTCATCAAATCATTGTTACAATGGCACAGAAGAAAAATCTCAAATATAATTTCATAATTATGACGAAGAGAAAGTTTCAGACAGAAAAAGATAATCACCTCCAAAAGAAACCCAATCGAGGGTTAAGTTTGAGTTTGATAGACCAGTAGTTAAAAACAACAGTTAATGTCATCTGTAACATATTGTGTCCAGTAGATCTTTTTCAGGAAACAAAATGTGTTGTTATAAGCAGGAAATCAGAAGCTGCTGTCTAGATGCGTTTTTGGCCGTATTTTTAAACTAAATTCATCAAACTGAACTAAGCCAACAAATTAGCACACCTATTGTTCTTCTATTGTGTCTCTAATTGCCACAATTGAAAGGTTAAGAAGAGAAGTTTCTCATGAAAGAAAATGACATCTGACAGGAATTACAGGAGAAAGTAGAAAAAGACATATTTAAATAACTTGGAAACGAAAGAAGAACTGATTTTTTTTATGGTATAAGTCGGCAAACGAGCATACGGATTACCTGATGGTAAGCAATCGGCGCCGCCCATAGACACCCGCCAAACCAAAGGAGTTACGAGTGCGTTGCCGGCCTTTTGGGGATAGAGGTTGCGGATATAAGGATCAGGAAGGGAACTGTTGTTTATTTTTTCCTAAGCTGATTGCAAAAAGTTTCTTAAAAACATTTCTTCTTATCAGCTTTATTTCCAGAATTAAATAATAAAAATAGTTTCGAGCCAATTTTGGTGTTTAATTACATCAACTTTTTCCATGGGACCAATATTGAAATCTCAAGAGTAAATTTATTTCCCCACACGAATCGCTAACAAGCTGATAGCAAACAGCTGATTAATAATTTTGCATGGAAAAGTAAACATTTTGTTTTAGTTTCCATATTGGTCTTCAGATTAAGGTTGTTTTATTTGAGCACCGGAATCGGGTCCTCGATTATGACCCTCAGTCAAAATAACACCCTATATAATGTAATACCATTTCCTTGCTACCTTTGCTTGGCTTAAAATGAATGGTCATGCTTCTTTCTTGTTGTTAATGCATCATTCATAGAAAAGTTGGTACCGTAGTAGGTAAGGTTATTATGGCAATAACTAAAATATGTAGTGTCGAATTGCCAAGAGTTTAACCCAATTTATGAACCTTACATTTACATTATATAATGTAAGTGTAATAATTCAGTTCATAAATTGGGTAGTTTGTTATGTCAAAAATTTAAATTATTTTGAGTTTACAATGTGATCAATTATCATTCAAGTTAAATTATTTATTCAATCATTGATTTGATGATAAACTAATTTAGATGTTCATGTTTGCTCTTTCATGTAATGAAAGTGTTGAATTTAAGTAGTTGAAAATTACCAGATGCAATAAACAAGTAAGAGAGGTTAAATTATCAAATAATAAAATGTATACTTTAAAACGCACCCATTGTCTTTTTCTAAGATCCTATTTAAAATATCCCGTAAAGTAGCAACCAACTCAAATGACATTTATTGTTATTTTTTCCTTTATATGACTTTACAATTTCTGGAGAGCCACTATGTGCCGAATAAATTTGAATATGGAACATTATTTGAATGAACTTTGTGCCATACCATGGCCGTCGATAATAATTATAATATCATGAAATAAGCCTTTTGACTAACAGAAACATATTTAGATATACTGAAACATTACAAATATATTTTTTTGGTAACCCTAAACAAGTAATTTTTATTAAAAAAAAACATTATATCAACACCTCTTTGGTTCAATCCATTATACTTAAGGCAATATTGATGTTTTTTATTCGAGAGCCATTTTTTTATAAGATTTAGGTCAATCTATTGTCCTATAGGAAATGTGAAATCTAATAAACAAAAAAGTATAAATCGTTTAAATAACTATTAAAATTACGTCACAAAATCCGGTTAATTGTTAAGCCGGTATTTGTTTTACTTAAATCAGTAATAAATTAAAAGTTAATTGTTAGTAAAGTGACAAGTAAGTGCATTTTTGCACATAATTATGCAAGGTCGTATTTTTTATCAACCATTTTATTCATTAAATCCTACTTTTAATTCAAAATATCTATGAAAACATAGAAATACAAATGAATAGAAAATCCAACGGCTGGGGCGTGGCCTTCTTCACTAATTTGATGACTATAAAGCTAATATATCGTTATGAATTCTCATAAATAACATGCCCTACAGAGATCACATTTCGTAAAAGCGCTTATAACCCGTTATAGTAGACTAAATTCAATGAAATATATTAATACTTACGTCCAAAGACTCCTTTGACGCCATCTTTCACACACAAACAAATTAGTTTGACGTTTCTCTCAAAATCGATAACAAAATTCGTCCTTTAGTTCGGATACACACTCCACGTTTGTTTTTTACTAATGGTATCCCAACAAGATTACTTGTAATGAGCAGTTCATATTTTTATTGGAAAATCGGCAATTGGAAAAATATTTGGATAGTGTTATTAGTCGTGTAAAATCCCATTGAATTATACCAATGGGTATTCTCACAAATATTCATCAAATCATATTAATTAAAACAATTTTCTTACGTTTTATTTTCTAATCCCATTTTCTTTGACAAACAACAAATTGCTATGCGTGCCCCTAACTTTTACCTTGTCGACATTATGTAAGGCACTTTTAAAATATGTTATGTAGAGCCTTTTCTAAATTTGATGTTCCCATGACAAAAAAATAAGCCTTTTTTAAATCTAGGGCAAACGAGCATATGGTGGCGGTATGGCCTGCCTGGGCTGAGCAACGCCGTGTCCTCAGGGAAGTGATCGGCGGCGGCAACCTCTCGCGCCCGACCTTAATCGAGGCCATGGTTCATAGCAAGAGGAACTGGGAAGCTATCTCCTCCCGTTGCGAAGCAGGTATGCTCGCAAAGGAGGAGGCGGAGCGCGCGAGGGAACTATCCTCCTTGCGCCCCAGCCGCCGCAGAAGGCGACATTCCGGGCGTCGGGGATCGAGAAATGATCTCCGGCCACAGTAAGCGCGGGTCTACGGACGGCGAGTAAGGGTAGCTCGCCGCCCGACCACAACCAGACCCGAGCGTACGGCGCGTAGTGTTCCGCGCGCGCCTCAATGCTGATGTTCAGCCGGGGTTGCGGGGTAAGCGCAATGAGGCACCGCGACCTCGGCCCAGAGCAGGAGAAGGAACAGGGGGGTTTTTAGTCAGTAAGAGTCTGACACTCCCTCCCGCCCGACCCTGGGCAGGAGCAGTCATTTGATGATTTTCCCCTCACAAAAAAAAGGGCAAACGAGCAAAACTTATTACTATTGGTATCTGATAAGCGATCGCTGAGAGAGATAGAGAGAAAGCCTGAGAGCCGACCATTCAAAAAGACTTTTGACCTTTACAACTTGTACTTGATTACCAATTTTATATTTGCTGCAACTAATACTTTGCACTTGGCGCAGTAGTCGGTATAGTCGATGCGCCAACAAGCCACAACAGCATACTGTTGAATACAATAAAAAAGTAATAAATTTTAATACAAGATACTTATTTCATGACACAAAAAGCATTAACATTGCCTACGTATAATATAAAGCATTAAAATTTGGCCATACATTTATGAGAATCGTCACCTTAATTTATTGATTGAGGAACGCTCATATGGATTGAATTAAGAGTTGCAATGATGCTGCATTATTACAATTTTTCTTTCAAATAGTTTAATTTTTAGATTAATATCGGGAATGCTGCACTGCACGTGGTTAATTAATCGTTTTTTAAAACTTTTCCAGAATTTTAACGATTTGCATGCAGTTATCTGGGCTTTGTTTGATATTTTCGTATTTTTATATTTTATTATTTCATTTATTTTTTTCATACTTCTATGTTATACCCAATTCATCCAAAGGGGCGGGATATAAAATAATGACTCGAAGATTTCCTTCCAATATTTATTTATTAATCAGTTAAAAAATTAAATTACGTAAATAAAAATTTTCAACATAATTATAAGCCAACTCAATATTTTTATTTGGTAACATCATTTTCAGTTTTTCTTTTAACAATTATATTTTTTCCGTGTACTTTCATGTGTACTTTGAGATTGTGTTTTCCTGTAAATGCTTTATTACATTCTTCACACACATATGGCTTTTCACCTGAAATAAAAATAAATTGAGCTATTCTGTAGAGATAGAGAACTAATGAAGGTTTTACATAACGCGCTCGAGAGATGGCGCTAGCGATGCTTATGGTTATTATTAGTCCAATTAGATTAGGAATTATAATTTGACCAATAACTTGACAGTGGGCAATGAACCTGAAACTACATTAGCGCCTCCAGTGGTGCAAATATCCTCATTACAACAAAAGAGGTCAGTAGTGAGGTAAAGTCGGACTTTATTGTCCGATTTCTATTTAGTAAACGTGCTGTATCGTTAATTTTGCCTGTAGAATAGGGCAAAGGCAAAACTACAGTAAAATTAAATTAAATCTATTATCACTATTCATAGTTATTCACAACATTGAGCCCTAATACGTCCATTGCTGACATATTGAATGTTTTTTTTCCTATTCGTAATAAGATCGATGTATATGGAGCACTTTGTCAAATTGTAGTAATGGAATATTGGAATTAGGGTACCTGTATGTATCCGTCTGTGTTTAAGTAGCACAGTGGAAGAATAGAACTTAGCGGGGCAATATTCGCACTGCTTCGTGCGGTTACCGTCGTGCTTGTTCAAATGCGCAACGAGAGCAGAATGAGTCTTGTATTTAGCTGGACACCTATGACATTTGTACTTGCATTCGTCCGAATGACTCAACATGTGGCGGTTTAACTAAAACACAATATATCCAATATTAGATTTTATCAAGCAATTTTTTTAGAAATAAGTGTGCAATCAAACTTATGACTGCACAAGCCCTACATCGCGCTAATGATATTTATGCTACGATTAAGGCGAACAATAATTCTTATCTATGATTCAGGTACCTTCGAAATGAATTTGGTTAAAGTTTTGAGAAGACCCGAACTTATCATGGGATTACAATACATAAAAACATAGGTATGTCCCGACACAGGTCTACGTTACGCGAGTAGTGTGGCCTTCCTTTTACAATGCAGGTTTTTGCCCATCAAGTGGCGCCGATGTGAAACATCGTCTTTTCGGCCAATAGGAAACTAGCTATTTACAGACTGACTACTAGCTATTTAGCCTTACTGTCGGATATTTAGTTTTTGACAGCTGATCAGTCATAATTACTTTTTGCTAGATTAGCGCCATCTGGAGAGGAAGACGGTAGCCGCTCTGCTCTAGCCTTATTGCATACTAGCTACTGTCCCGCGGTATCACTCGCTGATCGGCTCCTACATATCGTAGCGTGATGTTTTATAACCTACATAGCCTTTCTCGATAAATGGACTAACAAACATAAAAATAATTCTTCAATTCGAACCAGTAGTTTTGGAGATTAGCGCGTTCAAACAAACAAACAAACTACAGGTTTATAATATTAGTATAGATTCTGCATTAAAATTTTTAAACGGTTTCTAATTTATTATTAGGTAAAGAAATACTTACACTATAATTTCTTTTGATCTGAACACCACATATGGGGCATAAGCTTTTTATATTGTGTTTACATGTATGTTTGTCGTATTCATTCTGATTAACAAAGATTTTCTTGCAATTGTTGCAGTTAACCTTCTGAGGATTGTGTTTCCTTTTTTTGTGATCCTGAAAATATTTTAATTAAATGAACAATCAAGGTATTTTGTCCGTAAGGGCGGGTCTGCGGACAGAGAGTAAGGGTAGCTCGCCGTTCGACTAGAACCAGACCCGAGCGTACGGCGCGTAGCGTTCCACGCGCGCCTCAAAGATCCAATAGACCACCACGGCAGTTTCGGCCCAGAGCACGAGAAGGAACGGTCGGAATTTGATGATTTTCCCCTGACATAAAAAGGGTATTTTTCCAACTATGCAGTAATTTGCATATGATAGTTATCGGTTACCTTTAAATCCTATTAAACATTGCTTTCTTACAGAAAATTTCGAATATTGAATACATTACTAAAATTCAGGATGTTGTAACCTTAATTTGTAATTCATTTTATTTTCTTTATAATGAAAACGTGGTGTTGCTACGTTAGTCGTTAAGTTTAAGTTAGCAGCAGTTAAACGGAGTACAGATTAAAAACTTACTAATATTCCACTGCCTTGTTTACAGGAGAAATCGCACATATCACAGGTAAACGACTTGGTTAATCCGTGGGACCTTATATGCGATCTTAAAGCTTGCTTCTTTTGAAAGCTGGAAGTAGAAATATTGTGTTAGTTACTGACGTTTTAGACAAAGTTTTTTTTGGGCACTTAGTCCGAATTGACACATTTAAATTTTACTTTCATATGGGAGAGAAATAAAACAAGAGATTCTGGACAGTCATAACGGACCCGATTTTAAAACAAACTAGTTTTGTCTAGTTTTAGCTAGTTCAAGCAGAAGATGGAGCAACTAGCATGAAGGAAACTAGAGTAACTGACTGAAGCGATTGAAGTATGGTTACAGTCAGTATTGTTTCTGGAGTTGTTGATAAGTTGTGGACATTTGATCATCATCATCATCATCGATATACCGTGACTTGACAATTGCCTTTGGGGGTTTTTGTGGATTAGGGATTGGGAAGAAGGATTGGGCCTCCTTCGCGAAATAAACCGTGTTTCACGCCGAGTTCTGTGAGGCGGTGGTATTACTCCGGTCGAGCCGACCCATTCGTTCCGCAGCATGACTCTCTCATACATTATTATTATTATATCCAAGACCTACCCAGTATGTCTAAGAAAAACCTGAAATATAGTACTCACCATTTGGAACATACGTCGCAAATATAATTTGCATCGGAATTAGAATGTACCACAGACAAGTGATAACAAAGCCTTTTTGGTGATGAAAATAATATATTACATTTGTCACAAGACAGACGTTTATCCTGAAAATAAACATTTAAAGAATGATTTAACTTTATTCAATCGCACTTATTGACGTAGTAGGTACCTGAGCAACAGGGTTTACAATATCGAACTATACTACTATCCTACCAATCCTACTATCCACCTATACCTACTATCTTACTAATATTATAAAAGTGAACGTTTGTGAGAAAATATAGATGTATGTTTGTTATTCTTTCACGCAAAAAGGGCTTTACCGTTTTGGTTGAAATTAGGCATATAGATTGATATTAGATAATCCAGGGTGGATTAACACATCTGAATGAGAACTTTATTTGCATTACCAATAATGCACTAATACTGGATATCCTATATATACTATTTTTATATCTTTATGTGGCAATAAGTTCAAAGTATTTGATGGTAAAAGTTCAATGTTCGTAGCTCCAACACACAATCCAAAGGCATTGCAAGTGTATTGTGACAATGTAAAATGATGTTTTAAGGGGGTTACTGTCTTTTTGCTCACCAGGTAGCGCCGGTGCAGCCCTTTTGTATTTTCGTCCAATAGGGAACTAGCTAGTGTCACGCTATTGGAAGTTAAATTTTCGACAGCTGTTTGGAATTGGAGTATCTGAACTTTTACAAGATTAGTGCCATCTAGTAACAGAAAATGGCAATCTTCGTTACGCCATCGCCATGCTAAGAGTATTTATCATTTATGAACTTTTACTTACATCTTCCTCAATGTGAATATTTCTATAGTGAAATTCCAAATATATATTGGATTTGAATGTTTTATTGCAAATGTGACATTTAAATTGCGAAACCGGCACGTGGTTTAGTCTATGGGCGTAGAGTTGTGACAGACTATTCACTTTAACTTTGCAAAGATCACATTGTCTTTCATTATTATGACTATCTACATGCTGGTTCATTTCACTTATACTGTAAAATTCTTTGGGACAAATACCTGAAAAATAAGAAAAAAATGCATATTATGCAAATATTGTAAAATAATTTTGTTTTCAGATAGTCTGGTCGTAATTACCACAGTACCACTGGTTAGGTTCCACTTGGGTTTCTCGTTTTTTCATATATTTCTTTTTTGTTTTCATATCTGAAAATATGGAAGTGCTATTAATCTAGGAAGCCACTTGTCTGTTACTTGCTGTACAAATATTATATAAGAAAGATCAAAATACTTAGTGCTTGACTAACACCCGGTTTCTGACAGGCTTGTCAATGCTAAAATTAACTAATCTCCTGTTAAATCTCTTGTCAAGTCATCTGATTGGTTGTTGATAATCCAGTCACCCACACACACAAGAGATTAAATTGATTTTAACATTGATCGGCCTTTCGGAAACCGAGTGTTAATATTTTGATCTTTAAATTACCACCATTTGTGATAAAATGTGGAAATGGCTAACTACCAGTCACCCATTAAAATATGATATCAATATATTTACTTACGGTATAAATTCGCCACATTTTCGCTTACGAGTTTACAGTTTTTCTTAAGAACATTGCTAGAACTTTTATCTAGAGAATTGTTAATCTCTAAATTATCATCAAAATTTGAATCTGTAACATCATAATCGTCTAATTTGTCATCAAAATCATCAACTTCTTCCTTTATTTCATCTTTCATAACAAATACTATATTGTCATATTCTTTGACTAAAGCCTTCTCATCAGTTTCAGTTTGTATTTCTTTATCAATTTCAATTTCTGGTTTCGCCGTTTCTTCTTCTGTTTTGACTTTCTGTAAAAAGTGAGAATGTAGCTTATAGCTTATGTCTGATTAAGAATTTTAACATGTACTAAGCACACTAATTGAGACTAGAGTTGTGCTCAACAGGGCAGGTTGGAGATCACTGAGGAAGGCCTATGTCAGAGAACAAGTTGGAGGGGAACAACTGGTTGTTGATGATGATGATGATGATGATGATGGTGATGATGATATCCAGCAATAAAGGCTTATTTTAGTTTTTTATGCATACTATATCTGTCTTTTATTTTTCTGTTGCAGAAATGCTGGGAGAGCTGCAAAATTTTATTTCTATAAACATCTACAATAATTATTATGTTTTTGTAAACTGTAAATAAATAAATGATATTATAATTTCATTTATATCGTGATTCCTAGCCACACCATAGATTTTTTGTTCTAAATTTTGGTTAAGTTTTGTCTTTATTAGTATCAATTTGGAGATTTAGGTTGGAGGGGGGAGCATAGGGCCTCTGGTAACCTTACTCACATGGCAAACAGAACCCAAGCAGTGTTTCCAACAACCCAAACATTGCTTCAGTATGTTAGGCCAGCTCTGCCACTAGTGAGTGAAGTTATTGGAGACCCAATACTAGTCTTATCCCCTATTCAAACTCCAAAAAACTGTAAAAGCACTATATCTACAAAATTACTGGTATCCATGGGCAGTGCAGATTGCTTACCATCAGCGGCTTTATCTGGTTGTTAGCTAACCTGTACCTTAAAAAACAAAGTTTTTTTTTTACTTACATCAACCATCTCTTCCAATATAGTTTCTGCCTTAATACACTTCTCCCTAAATACTATGAAATATTTCACATTTTCCATACACGTTATGCAGGAATATTGTGGTTTTCCATCTGATAGGGTAATCTGAAAAAAGTAATCATGATGGGGTTATGACACAGGTAGAAATAAATTATTTTTTAATAATTACAATATTTTCATAGAATAAATTATTTTTAAGCTTAATTATTGAGTTTTTTCTAGAAATTGAAGAGATCAAGTTTATATCTGACATATAAAGATTATGATGTCACATATAGTATACTTTTAATAAGGTATAATATTGCTGCTTATCCAGATTTGAGGGAAGGAGAATGCAAAATGGCTTGGCTTCTTTGGGTGTCAGATGTGACCTCAAAGTATTGGATTTTCTTAATTGTCATCATCACTATTACACATATATAGAATGAGTTTAGTAGATAAGTTATAAAAGAGGGTAGCTGAATTAAAATCTTATCTTCCAATGTTTACAAACAAATAAAAGAAAAACATAGAAAGCATTACTTATGTAACTCGACAACCACACTGAAGAAACATGGGAATGAGGGTAAGTATAAAACAACATTGTTTGGTGTTATTTTGCAGAAAGAAGCATAAAGTTTTAGAGAATTTAGAGTTGTATTTGAGGCATGCACCTGATAGCAGATATTTGTACTTATATGTATATTTTAAAATTAATAATGATTATGAAATTAAATACTATAGAACAAAACTCACGTTAAGATTTGTTAGCAAATTATAGTTTATGACGAAGGACTCATCAACAGGAAACATTATATTTTGAGTTGACAAGCATACTCTACACATTTTCTCGTACATTTTAACCTGTAAAATAATTTGTAGTTGTTAGTATTGTTGGTTTGAAAGTTATTTAGAGAATTAACCATTGATACAATCTAATTATTTACTTGAAACCTAAAGTCAGCTGCACAATCGGTTTATGAAAACATTGTTGTTTATATGACTCTGACGTGTCGTGACACTGTATTGACAGTTCGGCAGATGACTAAGTCTTTTGTGGACCACAAAGATTGATTCGGCTGAACAGTCTGTATCCTTGAGTTGAGAATGTTTACTCTGAAGAAGCAGATGACCTAACTATTGTGGCTGAACTATTCCTAACTGGATTCGCTATATTGTTTCACACAGCTCAGCAATGAACTCATACTTACTAAACAATTGTACGAAGATATAAATCCATAAGCTCGTCAACTCTATGGATATGGATGAAATGAAACGTCACCATAAAACGTCAATGTCAAACAAATGCATAACAAATTAATAAATAGCAGTAGGACCAGCAGATTCTATCCTTTACATCCTAATGTATAATATTTTTGAGCGAATAATGAAATGTGTTAGTGTACTGAAATAATAACAGCAGCGTAATTAAAGCCGTGATATCAAGGTAGTTAAAATTATGGAGTTACTTAAAATGTAGGAAAATATAAGCATAGTTCACCGGCTTTTTTGAAGCCATTGAATTACGTAGACGCCTTTTCAGTATATGTGTATGTACATAGTGTTAATGTTTCAGTTTTATGTTCTTCTTATAGTATTTTATTATACACGTAAAGCTGTTTTTTTTTCGATATACACTTGATTTGTGCTTGTTATTGAACCAATTTAATACAGTTCTTGGTCTCCAAAATGTTCAAACGCGCTAAGAACCTTTTCTTTTTTCTCTTAGATTTCAGAATGAGGATTAGGAGATTGTCAGCTGTGTTTTGGACAACATGCATAATTGCATTCGTGTTTATTTTGTATGTGGTGACTGATTTGAGTTTCAAACTGCCTAGCACTAAGCCAGCTGTGCAAGATTTGGATGTAAGTACAACAAATAATATTAATTTTATTTTCTTACTATAAACATTTAGTTTCGAATGTAAGTGACGAACAATGGCTTATTGTACTTTATGCAGACTAAACATTACTACAACTTATCACCAATGACTTTCATAATTGGTAAATAATATCTAGTTACATGGGTAACATTAGATTTTTGTTACATTTACGATCAGTTTTCCTATATTGAGCAGCTACCTTCACCATATACATGGATCCTTATAATTTCCAACACATTAATGATCACCATCAATAGTTATCAAACTTTTATGTATGATCAAATAAAAATTAAATTGATCCTTTATATACTCAACTTCTTAACTTAGTTTCAAGATTAATGTGGCAGGAAAATATAACAAAATAGATTGTTATTATCATGTTTGCAATGTGCAAGTACAGAGAGAAAGTCATGATATAAAAATAACGTTACACATGTTCCTAAATAAATGTAATTGAAAGTAAATTATAATATGCCTAGTGCATAAATACCATCGTATTTATGCACTAGGCATAATAATAGGCATTATAATTTACTGTGATGTGATGATGTGTGTGATGTTACATCTAACTTCTAACAATAAACTCACTTGAAATGTTGTTTAACATTAATTTACTTAATATCATCTAAGAATGTAATTTCGGTTAAATTCTATCAATATTAATTCATACAAAAACTTACAGACAAAATGGTCTGCCTTTGAAAATAAGCTGCGGCACATCGAGAATGAATTGTACCAGCACCATGCTGTTGTTGGTGAAATTAAATCTGCTGTTGATCAAATAGTGGAGTCTCAAGAGTACCATCCACCTCAAAAAAGGCCAAAGGAGGTTGTTATCAAAGAACCTCCAAGGGAAAGCAAGGAGGTTAAAGAATATAAAGCAGTTGGTGATGAGCCACCAAAGATGAGGATTCCATTCAACATTTCTGCTTGCCCAGCAACAAAAAGAAGTTCAGCTAAAGTTGATATACAGGTATTGTATTTCTTTCACTCTCTTCTTTCAAATTTCCCTCAAAGTCACAGTCAAACTCAAATAACAATTAGACTATTAAAGTCACTTTTGAATGTCAAACAAAATTTATTATAAAATGTTAAAAAGTCTCAATCTGTTTGTCTGTCCTGTAGTGAATGAAGGTATTAGATTGTTCCAGTGTTGATTCCTATGGACAAGAATGACTAAGAAACTACTACCTACTACCTACTTATTACTTTCTTCTACTGTGAAACAGTCACAGTTAAATTCTTTCTAAGCTTAAATAATGTTTTGTCAATTATCTTATGCACATACCTAAGTACATTCATCAAAATTATCCATAAATCCACTAATAATGGAAACTTAACCCCAAAGTGGGGAAAAGGACTAAGTAAAACAAATTAACATAGACATTTTGATAGTATGAATAAGGTTTTTTTTTACACTAACATAATGAACTCATTGTGTAAGATTAGCTCACACTTTTACTAGCTGTTATAAACATAGTGACATAATAAGCACAATAGACTGTTTAGGATTAAGTTTGAAAACAAACAAATGTTGTTAACAAGATAACTGATTACACAGATTAGGTATACACAAAATCCAACTATGAGCTAATTTCAAATTAAGACTGCTTGCTGTCTTTTTTCTTTCCTTTATTAATTCAAAAAGAGTTCTTAATGTAGTCATGGTTTTTGTTACAAGAAGGCTGGACTGACATAGTTTCCTAGGCCATAAATAAATTATTTGGACTTTTCAATACAATATACAATACAATAATCTATACTAATATTATAAAGAGGTAAAATTATCTTTGAATCCACTGGTGGGATTTCCTAAATCTTTTCACTGATAGATAGCTACAATGTTCCTGAGTGTTATCCAAACTAATCCAAACTTAATTTTATAAATGTGAAAGTAACTCTGTCTGTCTGTCTTTTCTTCACACCTAATGTATTGAACCGATTTCCGTGATATTTGGTACAGACATAGTTTGGATTTCCAGAAAGGACATAGGGTAGTGTTAATACCAAACATCAGCTGGAAGTCGCTATTCCACGCGAACGAAATCGCGGGCAAAAGTAGGCTATAAATTATACTTGACATAGTTTAGGTTTTTAAAATATCTGGATAAATTACTTCCACACGCATGCGAAGAGGCGGCAGCTAGTTTTTGAAAATAAGTAGGTATGCTGTTTGTCGTATAACATGATGCCATAATTTATGTTGCGATCTCACACAAAATTCATAGAAAAGTCTTTATTGACATGTCAATAAAAGTATTGAATTTCACTAGTTAGAAACAAGCGTTTTTTTTAAAATATGCTACCTCAATTTACTTAATAATGAAAATATCTAACTGCCTACTTACTATTTTAAAGATAAACCAATACACCAACAAATTATTACATACAGCTATCAATGTTCTGTGTAGATAATCAGAGTTATAATCTACAATTTTATCTAATCTCATTCAAGTGGTCTTTCCATAATATTTTTTATTAATTGGAACATTTGTTGTTACCCACAACTGGTAACTGTAGCCTGTCTTTTGTTATCTTTGAATTCATTTGAATATAGTAATGACTAGTAGTTGTTATTTTTCCACAAGCATAAGTTGGAAAGATGGAATAAAGGGTTCACATCTGAATTCCTATATATCCACACCCACATTGTCTAATTCCTCAAAATATCTATTTTTTCCATCAATAAACAGCGAGAGTCTCCCATCATTAGTGTCGTTAGTATCTATGGGCGATGCCGAAATCTAACCATAAGGTAACCAGTTTACCGCCTTATGTCATGAAAAAGTATCGCCATATTTTCTCTTTCGCCAATTTCTTTTGTGTTTATCATTTATAAAACTTTGTATGTTTTTAGAACGAATAGAAAATAAAAAAAACGCGGTGAGATTAGCTCTGTTCGTAGCACTCCAATGTATAGTGTAAATGAAATACATTCTCACATGTACACCTTTAAAAACAAAGTCTGTATTTCTCCTTCATGTATTAACACTGGTGCCCAGATGCTCGTCATACCCAGATGCCCTACACAGCCATGATTCAATATTTGGCCTCGTCCAGCGATAGTCGTAGCTATTCACCATATTCTCAAATCATTTAGGTGGAGGGGGTGTTCAGAAGATGGATGGTACGGTTTAAGAGGATCGTTACGCAGTGCTAAAGAGGAACGCGAATGGACTAATTGTTATTTATATTCTTACACCGTTGGATCTCTACATAAAAATAATTGTTCAATTAGAAATAGTAGTTCCCGAGTTTAGCATGGTAAAACAAACATAAAAAAAAAACAACTAGGTAATATATCAATACAGGATGTTACCATTTTGTTTCATAGATGCTGTCAATGTATGATCGAATCCTGTTCGATGATTTGGATGGTGGCGTATGGAAGCAAGGCTGGGAAATAGATTATGAAGAAAATCAATGGAATCAAAAGAATAAGTTAAAAGTATTTATAGTTCCACACTCACACAATGATCCAGGTGAGTTTTACTACTAAGCTAATTATGTTTATGCATGAACTAAGGATCGCAGCATTCACCTGTGACGAAATTGGTTTTTTTGTGAGGGGAAATTAATCCAATGACTTCGCTCGCCCAGTGTGAGGCAAGAGAGAGTGTCAGACTCTTAATGTCTAAAAACCCTTCCGTTTCTTCTCCTGCCCTGGGTCGAAACCGCGGTGCCTTATTAACTTACTGAGTACTTGGCTGGAATTGGACGAAATACGAAAAAAACAGAAACTACTCTTTACTACTCTTTACTCAAATTCGGAATCTTGAATCTTGAGCTTTTAGGCCTGTAGGCCAGCCTGTAAAAATAAACGAAAATTTGAAATTTAATTTTTCCTTCACCCATTACACATGGTTTCGTCGATTATGTATCCACATTAATTTTTCATCTGTAGGTAATACCTATGTAATAATACAGCTGTTACTCTACGTCCGAAATGTTCGGAATATAAAACAGTTAAACTATTAGTCATTGATAGTGACCTTGTCACCAGTTATCAAACGTTATCACCGACACAGGTGGAAAATAAATAGAATTAGGTGCCAATACACGCGGTATTTGAAGTTTTATAAATAAAACACTCTGAGTACCTAATTAGTACCTTAAACTTTTTGTACATGCATACCTAAATATGTATGTATCCGTTTTCCAGTTTTCATTCAGTTAAAGTCTAGTCTGATTTGAATCCGGCTATATGGAACACCAAGGTCGATAAACTTTAATAAAAAAAAACTTTATTAGTAAAGTTGATGTTTTTTCAAAGTTTTAATTTGTCATGGTTTACAAACATAATGTCACATACTAATGTCATTTGTAGATTATACAAACATTTTTTGCCGTTAATTTAGTTAAGGACTTCTTGCTGATCAGTCTTGTTTATGGTCACAAGAATGTCTGCAATGTTGAGTATGAAATTTGCCTACAACCGAAAAATTCAATCAAAAAATTTAAAGTAGTTCTCAAAATCGAGTTTAAGAAGTTAATCAATTACCTATGTATATACGCATTTATTAATTCGGTTCTGGCTGTTACCAATCGGTTAGTTAGCCGTAGCACAAATATTGCGATATACTGCTTCAATTCCGTAAAGCCTTGTTTAAAATCGCAAAATATATCAAACTTCTAATTAAAATCATATAATACGTTTTCAAAGAAGATAAATTATTATTATTTTATTACACACCAGCGTTTCCCATTCATACGCGCGTCATTTTGCGACCCGGTCACGGGCCATCAAAATTGAATAGAAGACAGGACCGCAAAATGGTCTTCTTGTAAAAAAATGGTTCCCTATTATTCCTATCAATCGAGTCATCTCACTATTAAGAAGTATGTATGCAAGTATTAGTAGCTTCTTTACTATGTGTAGACAGTTATAATCCGAATACATTTTAAAAATAGAATCAGTTCGGGTGTAAGTATTAGGTAATATAATATTTGTATAGCTGATCACGAAGAGACAGTGTGAAAATTATAGGGCCACGGTAGAACAATGATTGGGAAATACAATAGTTTATTATTGAAGATACATACATTACATTTGTACCAAATAAAAACAATTATAGCATCTATTTTCACAATGGTCGGCCTTATCGCAAGCGGCGATCTCGTCCAGGCAACCTTTAGATAGATTATAAGTGTAATGGAGGAAGGGATATTAGATAAATACCAAGTAAGAGGCTGACACGCCCACTGGCCTCACCGGAGGATTTCAATCGATGATATCCACTCCTCGAAAGAGCCAAACGTTAACTTTTCTGTTCACTTATTCGACTAGCCTTTGTTCCATTTGTCTATGGGGCAGGGGAGAAAGCGTAACGTGTTTACTCATAAACAATCACTGTCGCCTTTCTAATATTATTGTCTACACAATGTTGTAATCTAAAATGAGTTCAATCGATTCAAAGTTGACATTTTAAAAACAAAACGAAATGTTGACATTTTATATGTGGGAGAGCCATCCTTCGGCATGTGGCCATGGCGAGTGACACACAAAAAATTGGCTAGAAACAACCACAGCGTTGTTTTGCCGTGTTGGTCGGGGTTACCGGAGGCCCAATCTCTCCCCTCCCCCCATCCTTTTCGAATCCATAAATACGCTAAACCTTTATCCCCAAAAGGTCGGTAACGCACTCGTAACTCCTTTGGTGTTGCTTACCATCAGGTAATCCATCTGCTCGTCCGCCGTCATACCTATCTCATTAAAAACACATCGAACTATAAGAAACAATCTAAAATCTACAACAGACTATCGATTACTTCGCTTCACTTTAGAAAGTACTATACCTAGGTCTTATTTACCGCCTGTGAATAAATTGCTCCGTTACTAAAAAGTGTGTCAGTTGTGACGGTGCTGTTGACGGCGCCAGCCATCCAGTATTAGAATACTATTAGCACACTTATGTACATATAAATAGGATATATTATAGCTTTGATTTACGACTGTTATGAAGCTAAAAATTATGGAATAATTTACTTCGTTACGTTAAAACTTTTTTCACACTAGTGTTTTCTTTTGAGTCATGAGTCAGTGATTTGTTTACAAAAACATAATTTCGAATGCACATCACACCCAGACTTGGGACAGCCGGGGTTGCGGGGTAAGCGCAATGAGGCACCGCGACCTCGGTCCTGAGCAGGAGAAGGAACAGGGGGGTTTTTAGACAGTAAGAGTCTGAAACTCCCTCCCGTCCGGCCCTGGGCGGGAGAAGTCATTTGATGATTTTCCCCTCACAAAAGAAAACCCAGACTTGGGACAACAATAATAATTAGTGGATAACAGAAAGTATTGTTCCGTGTGACCGAACGCACGGCTACTGAGACAACCAATAAATAATTCTTCTTTTTTTGTTAATCTAGATTTCCTTCCTTATAGCTTGATTCGATGTGAAATTGTTTTTTTGGCTTCCACGCCAGTTGACGACTCTTATATTTGCCGAAAATTTGGCTGATGACTCAATTTAAAATGGGTGAACATTGTGATTCATATCTACATTGAGAATATTGAATAGGAACGAGAAGTCATGTAGAAAAAGTATATAAGGTCACTTAATACTTTTCCGCGAAACAATAATGTTAAAAGGACGAAGTAACTAAGATATATAATAATATCATCCGATACATTTATTTAACATCTATACTAATATTATAAAGAGTTTGTATGTGGAGGTAATCTTTGGAACCGCTGACCGCTCTGGTTGCCAAAATTGTTTCACTGATAGGTAGCTACAATGTTCCTGAGTGCTATAGGCTATAAAACATCACACTACGCTCAAATGGAGCCACAAATAAAAATACACTATACGATGAAAAGTGAACTTTATGAACTTCTGCAAAAGGTTAAAACTTTTTTTTTCTTTATTACAAATTGGTTGAATTATTATTTACGATATTATTAAATTGGTTGCGATAATATAAGGACGTTGGTTATCAAGCCCACTTGTAACGAGCTTCAGATAATATTTTATAATCACCATGTACATATAATACATATCTACACATTCGCAATGAATAATATGTTATTTTTGTATACCTATCTGTTTGTGTATACATATATCCATTATTATAATTTGCTTATCAATTGAAATAAAACCTTTGCTCGGTAACTAAAGGTATATTTTGTAATAGGTACCATATCTATATCCTTGTTTCAATCCGGAACGCGGAATAGGAATGTTTTTGTTTTTTTTATGCCTACAATCAATGATATTATAGGTAAGTAAAATGGTGTAGATAGGTTACATTAGCAACATTCGATTTTCAAAAACGGCACACTGATGCACATACCTAATAATATGAACAATTCGTATGATAAGACGTCAAAATGGGAAGGCATGATTCAATAATCGCGAATGAAAAAGAGACAAATATGAAAAATTGTGGCTAGTTAGCCACGTTTTAATGTATCACTTGCTGAGAGCTTATGACCTATCTTCACCTTTTTACTTATAATATCATTGCCTACAATTATATTTACGTTCATTTTTTCTGTAATAATCTGTAGTAATCTTCTGATTTTACGTTGTGTTTTTTTATGTGATTATAGGTCGGCAAACGCGCTGACTATCTGGATTGATGGTAAGCAATCAGCGCCACCCATGGACACCCGAAACACCAAAGGAGTTACGAGTGCCTTGCCGGCCTTTTAGGGACAAAGGTTTCGGATATTTAAGGATTGAGGGAGGGTAGAGATTGGGCCTCCGGTAACCTCACTCACATGGTGAAACACAACACCGTAGTTGTTTCACGCCAGTTTTTCGTAAAGCCGTGGTATCACTCCGGTCGAGCCGACCCATTCGTGTTGAAGTTTGGCTCTTCGATACATGAAGCGTGATGTGCTTCATGACAGTCCATTCATGTCTCAGAGACGCGCTAGACTTTAGTATTTCGGTGTTTTCGTGGTTGTATCTATTGTAGACTGTGGCTTTTAGGAGTTGCAGCGGTTATAGGGGGTTGTGGTGGGCTTGCCCCATATAAAATTTTTATTATTAAAAAGCCCGCCAATTAACATAATAAATCTATTTCATAATATTTTTAAAGATAAATCTAACGAAATTTTATTAATGGTCTCACGTTTGCCAATTTTAATCTCAAGTAGGTACTCACCAGGTTGACATTTTAGAAATTTTATTAAAATACCTAATCGGCTACAATAATGGTAAAAAAATGTTCCCTAACATATACATTTTCTGAAATCATTTAACCTGAAGAAAACAACATTTGAAAAAGGAATACTATTCAATGATATAATAATATGTGTAAGAGTTCATCTGAAATGCTTACGTCAAACAAAACCAGTAATATAGGATAGTTAAAATATTCCGACCTTTTCATGTCCACTTCAGAGAAAATAAATACGATATCACTGTTCATTGCAGGTTGGATAAAGACGTTTGAGAATTACTACAAGGCGCAAACTCGCGCGATATTCACCAATATGGTGGAGAAATTGTCAGAAGGCATTGGAAGGAAGTTTATATGGGCTGAGATCAGCTTCTTGGCTTTATGGTGGAGCAGTGACGCCACAGATAAAGATAAGGCTATATTTACAAAGTAAGTAATCTGTTTATCATATTTTAATGTTGTTTAAAGTATAGGTATAGAACGCCATTCATGATTGTTGACGTAAAAAAGATTCGATTCATAACTTAAAAAAAATCTCATACTTTAAACGAAATATTGTGAGCAAAATTTTTTCGTTGTCTTTGGACTTGGTTGGTTTGCCGTCCTATTAACAGTTTTACAAGTGAGTATAGAATTCTAGATTTGTAAGTCAATTTTGTAATAAAATAATGCAAATCAATGAGATACGTATTATTAAGCAATACATATATTTTTTGTATCTTGAATGCCGCCCTTATGAATAAAAAGCACGGTCGGGCTTTTTGTTTATCGTTTCTTGATTTTGGCGTCCCACCGTGATGTGAAGTGCGATGGCACCGCCCGCTTACATTACTCACATTTCTAAAATTCTAAATTCCAAAGTTAATTTCAATAATGCACACACGAACTTGCGCTGAAGTGCCATGACTGATATCTTAGTCACTAAAGTAAAGCAACGCGACTAGAAAACCATACACTTCGCTTAGATCTAGATTTTTATTGGAGTTAGATCATCACAACAACTCTTGGATGTTTCAAAGGCAAACAGTCTAATTTCGCAGTTATCATAATCGACTTTTTACAGCATTTGAGGCTCGTGTATTGTTTTTTTAAAATTCGAATAAATGTTATAATTACTAAGAAATGTATGGATTTAAGTATGAAGGTCAGTTTTCTTAATGAAAGCTCTAAGCACACATGTTTGTAAAATATTGTCTAAAATATGTCAACTTAATTTCAGTCTCCTAAAATCAGGCAAGATAGAAATAGTGACAGGTGGATGGGTGATGAACGATGAGGCTAACTCCCACTGGCTATCAATCATAAAACAGCTGACTACAGGCCACCAATGGCTAATAGACCATTTGAACTACATACCGAAGAACGCATGGTCTATAGACCCATTCGGATACTCTAGTTCTCAACCTTATTTACTGAAATTAGCTGGAATGGAGAACTCAGTTATACAGAGAGTGCATTACAGAGTGAAGAAGGAATTGGCTTCTAATAAACAGTTGGAGTTCCATTGGAGACAGCTTTGGGGTAAGTCTGTTGTTTTTATTAGAGATATCTGCTATAGAAATTCGATGATGGCCAATTTACTTAAAAATTCAACTACGTAAGAGATATTATAATACGCACAAATATAAGAGTACTCTCCATACTTTAGACTGCACGGTTGGTGCGGTGGTTGGGCAACTGTTTGCCGTGCAACGTGTCGCGGGTTCGATTCCCGCACGGAACAACTCTTTGTGTGACCCACAATTTGTCGTTTCGGGTCTGGGTGTGATGTGTACGTGAAATTGTATGTTTGTAACCGCACCCACGACACAGGAGAAAATAATATTGTGGGGCAATTTATAAATAAAAAAAAAAAATAGTTAAAGAGCAGATTTCTATTCAAGATTAAATTTCAAAATTTTGGATACTTCTGACTTGATACTTTGTACGGTAGGTACGCAAAAATACTCTTAACTTTTATAATATGATTCCTGTCTTACTAGTAAAAGACTGGGTGCTGAGATAACGCTTTAGTTACTTTTTGCGTGCCTTGTGGAGAATTTCTAGATACTACTAGCAGTCGCTCGCGGCTCCGCCCACGTCGATGTAGATTATACAGAATTCTAAGCTTTTAAAAAAATCTCTACTTCGTACAAACATTCTCTGGACTTCCACGAACAATTCGAGACCAAAATTAGCCAAATCAATAAAGGAATTTTTGAGTTATAACATTACAACGAAAAGTGGAATTGATTTTTATTTATGTAGAGATAATATATGTTTTTTTTTATATTTTCTTTATTATATTCCAGACGGTATTGGCAAAACGGACATGTTTACACATATGATGCCTTTCTATTCATACGACGTGCCTCATTCCTGTGGACCTGATCCCGCGGTATGTATAGGCATATCATACCATAGCATACCATATATACCACTATAAACTGAACTTTGAATGTGCGGAAGGCTTGTGCAAAGCGAGACATCATGAACTGGTGTAGAGGTTCTTCAAAAATTAGTTTAATTGTATCAATTTTGGCCATGAGGCCATGGACTCCATTAAACGTTTTCTTCAAGCACTAATTACAAAAAAATCTGACCTTTCACGGATTTAAGAAACTACTAAATAGTTCGGCACGTATGGACCGGCTCAGCCAGAGTGATACCAATGCCACTTGAAAATCGTTTGAGTGAGGTTACTGGAGAAAGTCAATGCCTCGACCCCGTCTCTAATACCAAAATCTTCAAAAGTCCGTCAACGCACTGGTCTGGCATCGTGAGACTCCATGAGTGCACCGATAGCGTATTCGTTTGCCCATCTTTTCCCAAAAATAATCCCAACAAAATATTTTTTATAGTATATATTAGAAGTTAACTCGGTATATTTTTTGTAGGTTTGCTGTCAATTTGACTTCAAGCGGCTTCCAGGCAATGGAGTCACATGCCCCTGGGGGAAGGCGCCTCGAAAGATCATCGAGAAGAATGTAGAGGAGAGGTAAGTTAATTTTTTTTACTACTTTTTATATTATTTTAATTTGAACTTCTACTGTGTCACTGTTACGTCATACACTTGTCGCGTTTGATCGTTCAAAACTAAGGTTTTCAGACATCGGTGTCCTCTCTCTCACCCTCTTTATTATAGATCATAACTTCTTATGCTTAGAGATTCAATTAACTTCAATTTCAATGAACTTGTTAACAAAGCGCTGATTTTATCACGATTCATAAGAATTTAAAAGGAGAATAAAGACTGCATATAATTGTTTAAATTAATATAATTCGTTTGCTTAATAACAAAGAGACCTAACTCCAAGCAGAAGGTATTTGAATCGTAAACATTATGTTACAATAATAAGGTTCAATTTTGAAATACCCCATTTTAAGACTTACTTCTATTTTTTAATAAACATGCGTCGTATGCCTAATAGAAAAGAGGCTCTAAAATGAAAGTATTCGAATTTTGGAAATTCGTACAAGAATGTCTAAATTATAAGGTTCAATTTTGTAATACCCTCGTTTATGACTTAGTTCTGATGTTCCAGGGCCCGCACAATCCTTGACCAATGGCGTAAGAAAGCGCAGTTGTACCGGACAAATGTGGTGATGTTCCCCCTCGGAGATGACTTCAGATACGATCGTGCTAATGAATGGGATAACCAGTATCAAAACTATGAAATACTCATCGATTTCATTAATAATAATGATGCTTGGAATGCTGAGGTGAGCATTTTAGAGAGAGACCTGTAGGTATACTCCCTGAAGCCGGATGTTAAGCCACCCGCTTCTCACATATGAAACCTGGCGAGTACCACAGACAAACGGTAAAGGAAAACAGTTTGAGGAAACCTGGGCTTATAATTTTTTATACTATGTTTGAAATTGCCAATCTTACACGGAGAAGAGGCCTTTACTTAGATGTCTATTTATTTCATTGCGGGATCCAAGTCAATCGTACGGCACGGATTTATCTAGTTGTGGTAGCTTGTCCCTTAAAAACATGTCCATAATTAAATCCAGTTGTTACTAAAACTAATGCCATTTAAATCAGCGTCAAGGCGTTCCTGCAGCGTCTCTTGACTTTTGTGGCAGTGACAATTATGAAAATTCTACTTCTAATGGAATAAATATAATATTTAAGTAACCACGAAATTTAATTTCAAATAATGTTAGATAAACCCTTCAACCAACCAATTAATTTAATAAAACGTCACTTTCCTATTTCATTGCCATAATTTGTTTGGCGCCACTGTAGTTTTTGGCTTACTCACTACAAGTAATTATTACCAAATGGCTATACTACTCTCCCAGGTGCGATTCGGAGTTCTCCAAGCAATCTTTAGTTAAATAACCTTTTAATCTACCAGCTAATTTAATTAAATGTAATTTTCCTAACTCATTGTCAAACTTTGTTTGGCGCCACTGTAGTTTTTGGCTTACAATTAATTAATAACAATTGTCTATACCAGGTGCAATTTGGAACTCTCCAAGATTATTTCAAAGCAGTTCATGCTGAGGTCAAGGCGAATGATTTCCCCGTACTTTCGGGAGATTTCTTCACATATGCTGATAGGAATCAACATTATTGGAGTGGATACTACACGTCTCGGCCCTTCTACAAGAACATGGATCGAGTGTTGTTGGCTTATGTCAGGTAAGAGACCTATTTTGCGATAATATGAGACGAGAAGGGGTTTCTGATTCTTTAAATTCAAAGATTTTCATAAATTAAGTTTGTTTTTAAATATATTAATAAGAAATGAAGAGAATTTAAGAAATAAATCTATACCAATATTAGTAAAGCGGTTGAGTTTGTTTGTTTTAATTTGCCATTCTACGAAACTGGTAAATCGGATTGGATAATATTTATTGTGTTTTTCATGTTATTGAGGAAGGCTATAGACTATAAAACATCACTCTACGATATCTAGGAGAGAAACGGGTGAAATCGCGCGGGCAACCAGTTCCTAATAAAAGTTTTAATTTTTTTTATTGTACAACTGCCGTTTCTTTTTGGTAAAAGAAAACTCTTAAAAAGACTAAAACAAAACTGACCAAGAGCAGTTTCATCAGTTTTATCAAAATCAACCTTAAAAGATCTTATTAGAATCTATATCTCTTTATCAACAGGGCGGCTGAGATAATATCGTCTCAAGCCACGTCATCGGGCGCGGTGTCGCAGATGATGTCACTACAGCTTCGCGACCGAGTAGAGCAGGCACGCCGCGCTCTCTCACTGTTCCAGCATCACGACGGCGTCACTGGCACATCTAGAGATGAAGTACGGGAGGACTATGCTAAGAAGTTAGTATTTCTTTTTGTTATGTCGTGTAAATAGGTACGGAGAAAGAGGGGGAAATTACACCATAGGTTAAAAGCTATTATGCGATTTTTTCATTTTGGTCCTTAGGTTTTTGTAATACAGTTAAAAATCTTTTTCTTGGTTGCTTTAAATTGGTAGATTTAAAGAAATTAAGTTTCGAAAACACTTGACACACCCTGTATTAAGCCTTTGTCAAGGTCTATATCTGTAACTAGTTGCGAAAACTAGCGACTTATACGTATTCTTTTTTTTACTTTGCCCCCTTTTACATAATATTCTAACAAACATACGATTTCACCCTCATAGCACACACAGACCCAGAACAACTATTTGTGGAGCTCACAAAAAATTATTTCGTACTGATGTCTCACTCGCGACACGTTGCACGGTAGCCAATTACCCCGTAGTCATAATTTAATCAAAGAATAAAAAAAAATCCATCTTGGTTACAGAATGCTAATGGCCATAAAATACTCTCAGTCAGCTATACAACAGGCTGCCTACTATCTCCTGAACCAGCCACTAATCGTGGACCAAACGCAAGACGACATATACTTCGACGTGGACGACATCTGGCGGATACACGACGAAATACCGTCCCGTATCACTATTGCTTTGGATGTGGTCTCTCCTTCCAGAAGAATTGTTCTTTACAATGCTCTGGCGTTCAAGAGACATGAGATCTTCACTGTTCTTGTTTCATCGCCTCATGTTGAGGTAAGATTGATAAACTGATTATAAATATAGTTGTATATATATAATTTTCTGTCATACTAACTTGATCATAATCCTACTAATCGTACTTCGTACTTTCAAACAAATATTATAAAGGCGAAACTAACTCTGTCTGTCTGTCTTTTCTTCACGTCTAAAGTACTCAACTGATTTGTGTGAAATTTTGTACAGACATAGTTTGGAACCGAGAAAGGACATAGGATAGTTTTTAAACAAAAAATCTGCAGGAAGTCACTAGTCCACGCGACGAAATTCGCTTATTTTTTTAATAAAAAAATATGTTCTCAGACTAGCTACTCTCGCTCGGCTTCACCCACTGTTCCGCTTCATTTAATCGTAGCGTGATGTTTTATAGCCTATAGCACTCAGGAACATTGTAGCTATCAATCAGTGGAAGAATTTTGGCAATCCGAACAGCGGTTTCAAATATTACCCCCTACATATAAACTTACAAACATACAAATTTTACCTCTTTATAATATAACCGTTATCAGTTTCATTTTTTATTTCGTCACAGTAACACCCGGTTTCTGAAAGGCTTGTCCACCAATCAGATGACTTGACAAGAGATTAAATTGATTTTAACATTGATCGGCCTTTCGGAAACCGGGGGTAAGTTTATTTTAGTTTTCGTTTAGCAGTACGTGAGTGAGGTTACCGATCGATGGTCCAATCGTTACTTCTTCCTTAGATATTGCGGCGGTACCGATTGCTTAACGCCAGGTGATCAGTAAATTCCCTATCCGACCCATACTATGAAAGTCTTGTGATTACAGGTGTTCGACCCCGAAGGTAATCCAATGATGGCTCAAATATCACCAGTAGTGACCGGAGACAAGAGACTAGCGTTTGCTGCGAACAAATACCAATTATCGTTCCCCGTCACTGTGGACCCGCTCGCACTTACAGTGTACACTGTCTCACTTCGAGACAGCACTAGACTTAACAAGTAAGTATAGTAAATGTTCGATTCTTTTCCTTATGTCTATACTAAAATTGTAAAGAGGAAAGATTTTATTATTTGTTTATTTGTATGGCTTAAACTCCAAAATTACTTGATCAATTTGAAAAAAACATCACTATTGGGAAGTTACATTGTCTCACAGGCTATAATATATATTATGCGGGTAAAACCGCGGGACACAGGTAGAAAGAAGTTCATATAAGAACTGTATCTGTGGAATTGAGTGTTTTTTATGAACAAATATCACCTCAATTCTACATAAATATTTTGCGACAATTTTTTGTAAAGCTAATTATATTATAATTACATTACATTATAGGCCCCGGTATACCGGGGCCTATAATGTTAGCTTTACAAAAAATTGCTGACAAAAAGACTGCTGACTTTACAAAAAGTTTACTGATCAGTAAACTTTATTACCTATTTAAATTCAGATACACATCATACTCTCACGTGCGAGTTTACAATTTTACAATTTATTGTAAAGCTTAGCTTTATTGTAAATTTATTGTAAAGCTTTACAAAAAATTGCTGACAAAAAGACTGCTGACTTTACAAAAAGTTTACTGATCAGTAAACTTTATTACCTATTTAAATTCAGATACACATCATACTCTCACGTGCGAGTTTACAATTTTACAATTTATTGTAAAGCTTAGCTTTATTGTAAATTTATTGTAAAGCTTTACAAAAAATTGCTGACAAAAAGACTGCTGACTTTACAAAAAGTTTACTGATCAGTAAACTTTATTACCTATTTAAATTCAGATACACATCATACTCTCACGTGCGAGTTTACAATTTTACAATTTATTGTAAAGCTTAGCTTTATTGTAAATTTATTGTAAAGCTTTACAAAAAATTGCTGACAAAAAGACTGCTGACTTTACAAAAAGTTTACTGATCAGTAAACTTTATTACCTATTTAAATTCAGATACACATCATACTCTCACGTGCGAGTTTACAATTTTACAATTTATTGTAAAGCTTAGCTTTATTGTAAATTTATTGTAAAGCTTTACAAAAAATTGCTGACAAAAAGACTGCTGACTTTACAAAAAGTTTACTGATCGCATGTTCGTCTATTTTCGAGATATATCTCGAAAATAGACGAACATGCGATCAGTAAACTTTATTACCTATTTAAATTCAGATACACATCATACTCTCACGTGCGAGTTTACAATTTTACAATTTATTGTAAAGCTTAGCTTTATTGTAAATTTATTGTAAAGCTTTACAAAAAATTGCTGACAAAAAGACTGCTGACTTTACAAAAAGTTTACTGATCAGTAAACTTTATTACCTATTTAAATTCAGATACACATCATACTCTCACGTGCGAGTTTACAACGCGGATTATTGGACGGTGGACCTTCCGAAGATGTTCCCGATAGAGCAACCGGCCGCCCGTCTCATGGAAGATATCACGGTGCAGGCAGGGAACAGTACGCGCGTCGTCGCCACCATGGACGGGCTTATCAAGGCCATTGTATCACCTCAGGGGGCCACCATGCCTGTACATATGGACTTTTCACAGTGAGTATAATAACTCGTTGAATATCGGTTTATTATTATGTATAAGCCACAATAAAAAAAAAAGTGTCTCGCGTGGATCCAGGTCTAAAAACACGAAAGGTATTTTTTGTGTGATAGGTCGGCAAAGTAGCGAACACATAAAAAATACGAAACAAACGAGAAACAACCACAGCTTTCTCTTTGCCGTGTGAGCGAAGATATTGGAGGCGCAAAACTTCCCCTCCCCCCATCCCTCCCCAATACCTAAATCTCCTGAATACTAATCCCAAAGCGGGTGTCCATTGGTTGCGTCGATTGCTTACCATCAGGTAATCCGTCTATTCGTTTGCTAAACTATCACATAATAAAGTTATCATTGAGATTTGACCAAATGTATTGCATTACTGCATCGTTCTAATTAGTGATTGCAATTTTTGTCTTGTTATAAATAAAAGCGTTGTTTTATCAGTGTTGCCATCAAAAGTGTATTGATGTTAAAAAATGGTAATTCTGACATCATCGAGTCTAATTTTAAAGTTTCTATACTAAAATCACTTCAGATACGATAGTCAACGCGGTAAAGACAACAATAGCGGTGCATACCTCTTCATTCCGACCGGACCGGCCACAGACTACAAAGCGTCGGCCTTCCCTGAGATAGTGGTCACTGAGGGCATCTACAAAGCCACCATGTACGCCGCACTCAACTCCCCTAAGGCCGCCGATATCGTTCTAGCCGTGCGTATTATTAGAAATCGTCTTTTATTGCTTTCTTCGTAAAGTTTCATTTTGTCTGAAAATATCAAAGCCACGATGCTCTGAGTTGGAAAGTTAGCTTTGATTCTTGTTGTTAAGTTCTCTTTTTGTGTGTAAAATATTTAAAACTGCCGAACGCCGTACTCAACTCATCGCTACTATCGTGTAATGTTAGTTATAATTGACTGCAGGCTTGATGTGATGGCTGGTCAACTGGCTGATGTGTCGCGGGTTCGACTCCCGTACGAAACAAATCTTTTTGTGATTCACAAATTGTAGTTCCAGGTCTAGGCGTGATGTGTATGGGAAATTGTATGTTCTTAAACGCACACACGACAAGAGCGGAAATTTTCTTACTTCTTATTAAAAAAAAAACGTTGCCCCACACTTGGATTTTCTCCTGTGCCGTGGGTGCGTTTACAAACATACAATTTGACATGCACATCATACCCAGACTCGAAACAACAATTTTTGGATCACACAAACGGTGGTTCCGTACGGGAATCGAGCCCGCGGCACGTTACACATCAGCCAGTTACCCAACCACTACCCTAACCGTCAATTAAACTTATAGTACACGAATCCTAGACAACGTTTAAAAATAAAGGAAATAATGTAAAGACTCATTGTTTTCTTGGCAGGTATCAGTGTACAACAACCCGTCCTTGCCTCACAGCGAAGTAGAGATCTGCAACACGTTCATGATAGACCCCCAGGTCGATGACCTCGAGCTAGCGCTGCGCCTGCGAACTGCAGTCAAGAACGGAGACGTCTTCTATACTGATCTCAATGGGATGCAGGTGAGATCGCAAAGTTAACAACACAATTTATTATTACAGAGTATCATGGGTGGTGACGTTTGCTTACCATCAGATAATCCGCTCACTGATTGCTGCAGTAACACATAAAAATAATACGGTAGTTTCCCACTGGTCAAATTCAATACTTTTATCCAAACGTCAAAAACTATACTTTTCTATGAAATTAGTGAGAAACTGAGTTAAGACGTCATAGTTTTTTTTTTTAATCTTATACGATAATTATGTGAATACTTTACTTATTTCTTAAAAATATCTTAAATTCAGTATATCGATCGATCGATGAATAAAAGTATAGTTATTTTTCAATATTTTATTTTATTTTAACGTCGAATTAATTTATTTTTGACCAAGGAAACTACCCAATTGCTGTTTACTCCCCTTGTACTAGTAACAGGTCTTCTATAGGAAACTTTTTATTTAATCTTAATATAATTATAAACTCTTTAGAAAGCTCTTACAAACAGATCGAATCACGTCCTAATATCATGAAAGAACAAAAGAAGTAGACCAGAAGACCAGAAGACCAGAAGACCAGTGGACCAAATACCAAATAGACCAACAGACCTTTATACTAACGGTCTTCTCAGCTCCAGTGGTGTCAGATCTCGTAGCCGCCTGTTTTTGAACCATGCGAGTCCTGATAACTCATGTTTCTCTGTTTTCTTTTAGATGATAAAACGTCGTTACTTCGAGAAGCTGCCTTTGCAAGCAAACTTCTACCCTCTGTCGGCCGCTACGTATATAGAAGATGGCAAGTCCCGGCTTACAGTCCTTACTTCCACACCGCTCGGTATGTCGGCACTACAGCCTGGACAGATTGAGGTAATAATAATTACAATTATTTATTTAATAACTGACTCGGCAAGCTCCGTACCATCAAATATATGTTTTGACGTTAAAACTTTCCCTGGATTTGAACGAATATTTTAAGACCAAAATTATTCAAAACGGACTATCAGTTCTTGAGCTTTAACGAGACTAACGAACAGAAATTCTATTTTATATATAGCATTTAGTTACTAGTTTATTAAAACAGTTGTGTCAAGAACAATAATACAACAATTAGGTACAAAGGCACAGCTTATTTTTTCAGAAATCTCTTCCAGCAAGCCGCTATGGGGTGCAGTTAAACACTGAAGTTGATTTTGTTAAACTTTTTTTTTTCATTTTCTTTTTACAGATAATGCAAGACAGAAGACTGAGTCGCGATGACAACCGAGGACTCGTTCAGGGAGTTCTAGACAACGTCAGGACTAGGCATACGTTCAAAATTATCGTCGAAGACGCCAAGAAGTACTGTAGCGTAAGTATACTATTGTTGCATAATAAAATACCTCTGAAACTTTAGTAATGTTTTTCAACAGAAACTATCGAGAGACATACTAAATTTACTAAAACTAAAGACTTATTCACGTGAAATAATTGAGAAAAGCTCAACTAGTTTCAAGTTATAACGGGACTCTTATTCGCGACGTCGCCACGACGCGCTCGCAGCAAATATTTGTTATCTAAAAAATCTTAACCTAACCCAGCTATATTAGAAACAGGTTTTCGGAAGGTATATCGCTATACATTTAATTGTGCATTGGTTTTATTTACTCACCATTTTTCATGCTAGTGCAATTCCGAAACATGGCTAGTATCAATTTGACTTTTTGTATGTCATAATGTAGTTTCTAGCTATATTTAGACACCATTGACAAACAGTGAAAGCAAAACATCGTAAGGACTCTTGGACTTTCTAATTTCTAATTAGTAGTTTGAAATCGCCAATCCGTCTTGAGTAAGCGTGGTGATTAATGCTCAAACCTTCTTCGTGTAAGAAGAGGCCTTTGCTCAGCAGTGGGTTAATAATATGGTGTGATGAGACACGATTAAAAACTGACTAAACACCTACTTGCTATGACCATATATGTTAATACCCCCAGGAACAAACAACGGACCTGCCATCAGGTCAGCTTACACTGGGCGCGCACGTGTCCCAACAGTTGTTACTCCAACCACTCATAGCCATGCACTACACGGCCAAGAAAGATGGACCCCGCATCGGGTACGCCCGCGTCACCCTCAACGATGCGGACATCGTACTGGCATCCTACCATTCACACGTTACCGCCAAGGTGAGACTTATTTTTAAACACATGCGGCCTTAATGCAAAACAAGAATTATCTTTAGTCTAGGTTTAAACCATTGAGTCATTTTGAATCTTATTCTCACTTACCTTTTATTTGAAATTCAAACCGAAATTCAAAGGATTATCACCCTCATCAAGGTTGATAATCCTTTGACAGTTTTTGGTATATGTTATGTTTATGTTACCGGCGGCGTATAGGTGCTTTGTCAATAGATTTGCTCAAGTTTTAAAAAAAGAACAAACTATTGAACTCAGACCCTAGTCTGAGCTTGGACGAAGCGTGAACTGTCCGAACACTTGACGAAAATATTTAAATTAAAATGAAAGAAATAAAAAAATCTCTGATATTTCTTTTACAAACATAGTTACAGTTGGGCTTGCAATTAGGGTGAAGGTAGCTTAAGTCATTGACTGCCGACAGTGGCAGTGACGATTGAGGGCAAATCGTCCACTAGCGTGGCTCGCGTATTGTCCCCTATAGATAGTGTTCAATGTGTTAATTAATCTTTCAACCTTGGTAATTCGAAACGCAATAAAAGAACAAGGCGCGTTCGCTTGGGTTTCATAAAATAATTCGTTTTTCTCTCTTCTTCTTTAACTTATCCTCATAAAGTTGAATTTTCAATGAATTTAAGTAGTCGTGTCATAAAAAACTAAAGCTTCATTAATAAAACTTAACGTAACACGAATAAGGTTGATTTTGGTTCACTTGAAATTGTTTAAACACAATTGAGGAATTTTTTGTTCTTATTAACTTTTGTTTAAATTAGAACAAAGATGGCGGCGTGCTGCACGGGATGGGTATGACACTGCAGCGAGTACTACTCGACACGTGCTACGGCAGCCCCGACATAAACAAGTACTATCGGGCAGGGGACGGACAGGTAAATCCAGTATTTTTATTGTTATTCTAGTTGTATGTTGATAAAAAGGAGCCTATGTCCTATTCCGGAGTGTATCCATGCCTGTGCCAAATTTTATCCAAATCCGTCCAGTCGTTTTTGCGTGGTTCACTTTCGCATTTGTAATATTAGTAAGATTGTTATTTGTTTTTGAGCTCATAAAATAGATAAAATGGTGAATGCAACTTACACACTATGGCCATATAGCGCCGCCCATGGACTGCCGCAACAACGGAAGAATAACGAGTGCGTTGCCGACCTTTTGGGGATTACGGATAATTCGAGATTTTGGGATTGGGGGGGGGGGGGATTAGGGAGGATTGGGCCTCCGGTAACTCACACCTCACTCACACGACGAAACATAACACTGTGGTTGTTTCACTCCGTTCGTGACGAAGCATAGCTCTCCTACACTTAAATATTATAATCATCTCATTTATATAAGATCTTGCCCGCATGTTTTACTTTAATTGAGTATGCATACACATGTTTGACCAAATAAAATTCATTTTTATCTCAATATTTTTGTTACAGGTGACAATATCGGACCTCATAGACGGTCCCGCAGACAAAGTATACGACAGCTCTCTAACGTACGTCACAGTACGGAACCCGCTACCCAGCGGAGTGCTGACCCTTTGCCCCATGGAAATAAGGTCCGTGTTCATCAACCAAACACTTAAAAAATACTAAATAAAGTTTTTATTTCAACCTTGTAAAGTACTACAACTTCACAATTATTTAGTAAAGTTGAATACAGACTTTAAGCACTGAGTGTTTAGATCGAATGTTAGTAGGGGAGCCCAGGATGCTAAATTTGTTGTTACTCAAGCGTCGTAGGGAGTAACTTTAATGGACTCCCCTACTATTTGCTTTGCGTTAGCGCGATTGATACGTTGATGACGTTCAGCGCTCTGATTGGCCAGCTTCAATTTCACTAACCAATCAGAAGGCTATATGCGATAACGCTTCAATGGCGCTAATGTAACAATAACTTCGCTCTAGGCATTTCAAATTCTATTTACAAAAATGTATGATTTACACACATTAATGAATGTTTTGTTTGGTGTATCCGAAATTATTTTTTTTTGAATTATAAACTCTACTGTTATGGATTGAGAACACGTTTTTCTATGTACAGTGGCAGGTCAATGTCTTCTGACCAATTATTTTTTCAACTTTATCCTTCATTTATTAAGTTTAAAATACAATGAAAACTTTTTACTTTTTATTAAATCATTTTTAGTTTTGAGCTTCAATGCTTTGAAAATAAAGTTGAATTAACGACACATTCTGGTAAGTTGGCAATGATTGTTTTTTTATAATTGACATTAATTGTTATAAGTTGATGTATTTTTTCGTTGTTTTATTGAATGATCGTAAAATGTTTTAGAGGAATCATGCACAAGAATATACGAATGAAATTGTAGCTAGGTATTGCAAAGTTAATGTTTCTAAATATTAATAATAATTACTTTAAGGCTCTGTTGCACTATTGCGAAATAAATTTCTGTTAGCTTAACTCATAGATATTTTGTTATAATTTTATTAATATATCCACCAGTTAAGCTAGTGGACATCTACCAGGTCAGGTTATGAAAATACCCGATGCTATACATAGAGAGTGATCATTTTCGTGACCAATTTAAAAAAATATATTTCATTTCTCCTTTTTGAATCAGTGATTAAAAGCGAGTGATAAATTTTCAATCGTCTTGGTTTGGAAATAAGATTGAAAACGGTCTGTGGTATTATATTTAGGCTCCAAAAAACTCCCAAGCAGTAGCGGTCCTATAGAGCCTTAGTAAATGCCAATGAAAATCGAGTAGACGTAATTAATCAAACTCATATCTTGTTTCTGAGGCCATAAGGTTGAACATAGGTCCCAATTACATATAAATGTAACACATTTTCGCGTAGTATTGGAGGTTAGTACGATTTGACTGATCTAGCTCTTTTTATATGGTGATGAATGATAATTAAAATTTGTTTAAAATTGATTGGCTTTGTCGTGTGATCAGAATATTACTGAAATATCGACTAAGAATAAATAAGGTCTCCAAAAAAAGATGGCGGCACATTCAAGAGTATAAAAAAAGAGTGGCACAAAATTTTGTTGTTGTTAAAATTAATTTTAAAGCATTTTTACATTATGAAAGGAACGTAATTTAATTATTAGGAAATTAATATTAATTTTTACATTATATCAAACTATTACTGTAATCTAAGGGCTGATTTTTTAATATTCAGAAAAATGTTATCTGACGAATAAAATTATTGCTATCATTGTCTCATCATTATTCCTCAGGTAACTTTTATCTAACCATTGCAAAATCAGCCCTAAATCGCATATAGGATCTTTATATTTTTTATTTCAATATCGAGACAATGACACATTTAATATTATGATTATTTATATTTATTTGTTCATATTTGGTTGTGCGGTGCTATACCAAGTTATATTGCCATCAAATTGTTTACCAATTAAAATTAATTTTGTTAATTTATTTAGAATATATTTTCGTTTAAAATCAACATTAGCCAATGATATTATAAGTAAAAAGGTGTAGATACTTTTCAAGCGCTCAGCGAGTGATACATTAAAATGTGACTAACTAGCCACACTTTTTTCATATTTGTCCCTTTTTCACTCGCGGTTTTTTAATCATGCCATCTTACTTTGACGTCTAAACATACCTTGTTAATATGTGTATCAGTGTGCCGTTTTTGAAAATCGAATTTTGTTTAGGTAAACTATCTACACTATTTTACTTATAATATCATTGAAATTAGCATAATTTATTAAAATATAAAAATTACATTTAGATTAATTATTATTATAAAAACTCCACTACAATTGACTTGGGTCAATCATTTTAGTTTTTAAGTTTTAGATCGTAACTTGTAATGTATATTTTATTTCGTTAAATATATTCCAGTGTTATATTAATATTACTTTATTGACAGAAAATATTATTTTAGTATAAATTAATCAAATTTAATTCTCTCTAAATTAACATAGTTTATGAAAATTGCCTTTAAAAACTGTATTTGATTTTTTAGTACACAAAACGTGCCAAGGTTTTTATCTTTCTAAAGCAAGTTCCACATCGTATGCTGTTTTTGTTAATTTATATAAGCAGCCAACTTTTCAAACAAATAATGAGATATAATTACTTCTATAAATGGATGCTTCACGTCTATGTTTTTAGCCAAGTTGATGGGTTGAAGTATAAGAGTTATGGAAACGAAATAAATCTATGGGGATCGTCTGCTTAACAAGGCTCTTTTTTATACTGTGATTATAAATGTAATATCGATAGGTAATACATTCCCCAGTCATTTGTTTTGTGTAATACCGCCAACGTATCTTGTCGAGTCTAAAGTTAGCCGTTTAGCTGCGCAGTACACAATTTTGTACCTAAAAGATCCATTGCGCAGACAAACGGCTAACTTCAGACTCGCCAAGATACGTCAGACGTACTGTATCACTAACAGTTTCAATAACCTATTTTATTTTTAGCCTATTTATATATGCTAAGAAGAGATAGAATAGAGCAGTTTCCAACTAGTCAAATTCTATGTTTGAAACTTTAAGGTATTGCAATGTCAAAACAATACTTTTCTATGAATTTTGTATGAAATTGCAATATATATATGAAGTGTTCTTTCGTCATAAAGCATACTTATTTTTGAATTGCTTGAGAGTATTTTAACTAAGTTTATCGTCAAATCAATGAATGAATGTATGATTATATACATCTAGATCTACATAAATATATATCAAAATAAAATAAATGTAATAAAATCAGAATAAAAATGAGAAGTCAAAATAATTTATTTCTATATTTTTATTATAACTTTCGTGAGACATTCTAAATTAATGATTATGTTTTCGGCTTACTCGCGTAATAATTTGACGAGATACCCGACTAGTTTCAAGCCATACTAGAGGCCTATATTCATGAGCAGCATTCCACGACACTCGTAGCAGCGCGACAGTCGCCGCGTCACGTGTAAAGTAAGCCGAAAACATAATAATTAATTTATTTCTAACTTAGGAACTATTGTGGCATTAACACAATAAAAATAGGTTATTGAAGCTTGCCTTAAATACTGCCCGCTCACAATTAGCTATATACTTCATTTTAAATATTATCTACCAAATATATCAGAAATAAGTAAGTATGATTTGGAAAAACATGGTTTCATAATAAATACTGAAAACAATCAACATGTCTAAGGACACAGATATTTAATTTATAAGATTTCTATATATATAATTTGCACGTAAATACTTAATGTTAGTTACACTATGTTGGTATATAAATATCTTACTTGCAATGCATTGTATTATGTTACGGTAAGTAGTTAGTACGATAATTCCGTCGATTCGATATTGATATCGTTATTATGTATTTTTACGTCTATATATAAAATTATTCATGGCATAATGGCAGCACAAATAATTGTATTTACTTGTGTAAGTACTTAGAATGGATTTTGTATAATAAATAAATAAAATTGTTTCGGACAGCGTCGTTTGACGATCTTCATGTTCAGACAATGTTAAGAAAGATTTAATTGATGATTACATTATTATAGGTCATAACTTGAGTGTGAGTGAGGTTATCGTAGGCCCAATCCTCCCCTCCCCCCCTTAATCCGTAAATCCCCTATCCTTAAATCCCTAATAGCCCGGCCGGCAACGTTCTTATAGTAACTTATTTAGTATTACGGCGGCGCTGATTGCTTACCATCAGGTAATCCGTCTGCTCGTGTGCCGATCAATTACATTACTAAAAGGAGACTTAAACGGATCAAGGCCAGACTAGTTATTATAAATTTATCTAGGTTCCCTAGTTATTGGTTAGAATGTGTAACATAAGATTCAATTTTGTATGTAAAATATAACGTCGTCCTACTGAATATGTAGCTCGTCAAATGTTGCTATTTACCTCTGCCTTTCGCTAGTTACTGTAGTTCCTTTAAATATATACCTACGTCATATACAATTACTTGTTTTATGCATTTCATAAGGCCTACCATGATTTGTTAAAGCGTGAATCTTTCGGGCGAGAAAGAGGGATGGAGCTAAACACCTTTTATATCTCCATCTCCTTCTTTCTCCCCCGGATGATTGACGCTTTAAAACGTCACGGTAGGCTTACAGTTCCTAGTACACTGACATACAATTTCAATTATATTCCCCATTAACAAATTACTGCTAGTTACTTTATGCTGTCTACATAAAACACGTAGAGATCTCAATACTTAAAACAATATAATATTTAAGTATGTTACAGTTTTCTTAAATGGACATGTGTATGCTATTAATATGATTATGTATTAAGAATTTTTTCCTGAATGAATTATTATCTATTTAAAATATTAGTGAGATTTGTATTATATTGTTTTATCATGCATTTAATTGTACTTTGAATTAATAATGTAAATATAGGAGATTGTGTTGAAAATTATTTGGCTGTTTTATTTGTTGATCTGCCTTATTTTATGGTTAAGAAGTCATATTTACTTCTAGGCCAGTATGATTGGCCACAATGACGTATGGTTACAAAATTTGCGTTGATCGGAGATATTATTATGAGCTTATTCATTGAATTAGTCCTTGAGGTGGGCTACGAATAGGGTGACGCCTACTTGGTCAAGTTTAACACAATCAATTAAATTCTCGGTGGCTCCTCCTTTCTAGGATGTTTCCGTGTTAGTGACTAACCATTTTGAGCTTCTTGGCGTAACTTTAGCTCCTTCATTGAGTTCAATGCGCA